CTGATAAGGAAAGTCATAAAACTGCTCAAAACAATCAGGAAATTAAAAGTGCTTTTATGCCACACTAAGAAATAGTGTTGAATGTACTTAACCAAACTGGTTCCACTTACAAATCCTCAAAATAAGTACACAAGTACTTTAACAAAGTTAGTTACTCATTGCATTCAAATAGTTAAATTTTAGTTTGATCTATCTGCAATGCTTTACCTAAAAATGCACCAGGTCTGCACCATGGATTTTTTTAAAGTAAGTTTATAAGTAATTATTTTAATTTGCTAGAAAATGGTCTCTAAAGTTTGTATACAATTATAGTGGAAGGCCAGTATACTAAAAATAATGCATTGTTCATCTGTTTGTATATATTGTGTTTTATTTCTTCAGGTTCATACACTGCCACAGCAGGTATTCCAGAAATAGTTCAGAGAGTGTCTGAGTTCATAAAGAAACGAGACGGTGGTGTTCCATCTTCCCCCGAAAACATATTCATCAGCCCCGGCTCACAGTGGTCACTGGGGGTAACATCACTAACACTCTGTTTAAAGCCTCTTCCTCCTGTTATTTATTAATCAGAATCAGAATCTCTTTATTTCACCAAGTATGATACAAGGAATTTGACTTGATGAGAACATGTGTAAGACATGTTCAAGAACACAGAAAGCTATGAGAGGCCCTTTAGGCCATAAATCAAACTTGCTCTCACACATACTATCAAACCCTCTGAGTTTGATAGTATATGTGAGAGGGTTTGATAGTGTATGTGAGAGGGTTTGATAGTGTATGTGAGAGGGTTTGATAGTGTATGTGAGAGAGTTTGATTGTGTTTGTGAGAGGGTTTGATAGTGTATGTGAGAGGGTTTGATAGTGTATGTGAGAGGGTTTGATAGTGTATGTGAGAGGGTTTGATAGTGTACGTGAGAGGGTTTGATAGTGTACGTGAGAGGGTTTGATAGTATACGTGAGAGGGTTTGATAGTGTATGTGAGAGGGTTTGATAGTATATGTGAGAGGGTTTGATAGTATACGTGAGAGGGTTTGATAGTATACGTGAGAGGGTTTGATAGTATATGTGAGAGGGTTTGATAGTATACGTGAGAGGGTTTGATAGTATATGTGAGAGCAAGTTTGAATTATGGCCTAAAGGGCCTCTCATAGAAGCTGACAAGTAATACACAAAGAGAAATTTACAGGAATGTACAGCTGACATGGGTATTAACAGAATATATCTACACATTTGTGCAAATCAGCAATGCGTACAGTTTATTATTATCATTTTTAAATAACTCAGTCTGTCTTTTCCTGAACTCATTAGAAGATTCTGAACATCTTGGTGAATCCCGAGGCTTCACCCAGAATAGGAGTGCTGACTCCAGTGCCATGCCACATCACCAGCATTTCGTCCATCACGGGGCTGGGGGCAGTTGTTGTTCCTTACTACCTGAACGAGGAGCAAGGCTGGAGCCTGCAGGTGGAGGAGCTACAGCGAGCGCTGGAGTCTGCGAAGGGAGTCTGTAACCCTGTTGCTCTGTATGTCATCAACCCAGGAAACCCAGCAGGTATAGCTTAATCCAGTCAACACAGAGGTAGTCCCAGTGGGGATTTGTTGTCTCTTGAAAAGGACACTTTATCAGTTTCACACCGTGTTACCATGCAGGTTATGTTCAGAGCAGAAAATCAATGCAAGAAGTGATCCACTTTGCTTCAGAGAAAAAGCTCTTTCTGCTTGCTGATGAGGTATATAAACTCTGAGTGGTACCATTTATTTAACACATTTCTGGAAATCAACCTATGGATTTTCTTTTGGTAACCCTCCTCAGGTGTACCAGGACTTTGTGTACCGTGAAAACGAATTTGTCTCCTATAAAAGAGTTCTGGCTGAATTGGGGCCTCCTCTGTCAGACACTGTGGAACTGGCATCCTTCCACTCAGCATCCAAGGGCTTCATGGGAGAGTGAGTTTTCAGTTCTGATGAGTATCTGACCTGTGCAGAAGATAACAACTTACTCTGTAATTTACTTATTGATCTGCAGTTCACAAACTAATACATTTAGGGCACTAGGATTTATTTCAGGCAGGAATAAGAACAATCGTGATGCTACCAGCTTTAAAACTGTATTTCATGCGAGTCTCTTCCACCAGATGTGGTCTGCGTGCTGGTTATGTTGAGCTTGTAAATGTTGACCGTGAGGTCATGAAATACATCAACACCAGTTTCACTGCTGATTGCTGTGCACCTACATTGGCTCAGATCGCTCTGGAGGTGATGATAAACCCTCCACAGCCAGGAGACCCCTCATATCCTCTCTTTAGTAAGGTGAGACAAAACAAAACAAAATAAAACACAATGAAGTCTTCAGTGGCGGAGCCAGACATTTTTCTCAGGGGTGGCCAGACGGGGACCACCACTCACACAGGGGTGGGCATGAAAATTACATGATATTTTTTACTTGAACGTTTCTGCAGATCTTTGTGTTTTTGTCATTTCATTATGTCCTTATACGTGACTACCTTATAATCATGGGCATCAGAACCATTTTAAAAGTGGGAGGACACACTGTTGGGGGTTCTGGGGGTCCTCCCCCAGAAATTTTTGGACGAAACAGATGCCATTCCCTGCATTCTGGTGTATTTTACCAGGTTGTTAAACATACTTTTACCTACGTAAATAAATACTTGATTTAATTATTATTTCAGGGAAAGATTATTCATTAAACTAGTTCCATCATCCTGTTTTTAAACTCACTGCTACAGCTGAGATGAGGCTAATTAATGTGACACAGTTTATCATATCCAATAACTTTAGGGGTGCTTTTTACTTTTATATTGTTTATTGATTTATTTTTAATTGCAACACATCATTGTGCCAAATAATGATAACCCTCCACTGCATGTTTAAAACTGTTATAAATTTTACACAGTGAATTTAGAGGGGTGATTTCTGATTTAGCGATAGCCCTACTCATAGCCAAACACAAAGTATTATGCAGCCTTCATAACATAAAATGACACTATGTTATGGTGACAAAAAACAAACTTTGTCACGATAATCCAAAAGTTGGCATCATAAGTCAGATTACATAGGCCATAGGTTCTGTATTTTTTTATTATTAAACAACAAAGAACACACAAAATAATACAATGTACAAACAATAAGGCGTATTTCAAACAAACAAACTTGCATATAAGAGAAAAGGATGGGTGCAAATAAAGATAAGTTTAAAAATAAGAAGGAACAAAAAAAGGCTAGGGTTTAGATGTTAAATCATACTCTTCAATTAAAAAGCACAGATTGTGGGCATGTTTAGTATACATCACTTTAAGAGAATTGCAGTACAAAATAAAGTCATTGTGAAAATGATAGAAATTTGGTTTAACCTTAAGATATTTAGCTTTATGAATGAAAAATTGTTCTGTATCTAAAGAAAATCATCACTTCCTTGTCATTACTCTTCTTCAGTGATAGAGCTAGGTGATGTTTCAAACTGTTAACACTGCCACTAACTGTTCAGGAGGATTATAACACCCCTAAATATTTCACTGTGGAAGGGGTGTGCACAGCAGGGTGGCCAATGATTTGTCAATGGTGGCCATGGCCACCCCCTGAGTCTTGGTAAAGTTTGACTAGTTACTGTCATATTGTGCAAAACATGAATGAGCTACTATGAGTTTGCACATATTGTCTGTTCTATATTGTGCAGGAGACACAGCACATCAGGACCTCATTGGTTCAAAACATGACAAGAGTCTGCGAGGTCATCAGCAACTTGCCTGGTTTCAGCTGCCAACCAGTGGGAGGAGGAGCTTTTGTGTTCTTCAGAATACATCTTCCACCCAAGGCCATCCAAACAGCCAAGGTTTCAGAACATTCACTTTTTAATGAAATTAGGACAGTAAAACCAAATTTTACACTTTTTTTAAGACAAGATGTCTGAACATTTTAGGAAGAAGGAATGGAACCAGACACATTTTACTGTATGAAACTTATGGAGGAAGCAGGAGTGGTGAGCAGTCCTGGTTGTGGGTTTGGTCAAAAAGAGGGAACATATCACATCAGGTACGACTCAAGATCTATTCTTTGGGGGGGGGGGGGGGGGGGGGGGGGGTTGCTGCTATAAGCAGTTTTCTACATTTTAAATGCTCAGAACAATTTTTTTTGTTTATTCATCTCTGCAGAATTAGCATCATGACATCTCAGGACATCATGGTGGAATTACTGGAACGCCTGAGCACCTTTCATGCAAAGTTTTTTAAAGAGTTTTCTTAAACTATAAATAAAGAAAAACATTACCATCCAAATTGAGGGTGGGGCACCCACAAACTTCTCTTGTTGGCAAGCACATTTATTTCAATAAATGACAATTTACAATGTATTTTAATGACATTTGTTTTTACTCAGTCTATAATCGAACACTGCTTTTCAGATAGCAGTTAACCACTCTGCTAACAAAAAACAAAGTCCAAAATCCATAGGATAGATTTTTTTCCCCCCAACTCTTAATGGAGTTACAAAGAAAATAAAGCAGGMGCCAACAGTTCACTTTGGACTTCAGCCTGACAGCTTCCATTTACTAACATTAACAGATTGCTGTAAGTACTTAGAAAAAAAGGAAACAAAATTGATTTCTGTTTCAAGCAGGTGATCCAAAATACAACTGCAAACAAGTTTTATTATCAATCCACCTCACTTTCTACGCTGTGATTCTGAACAAAAGGGTTTGACTCGGTACCGTTTAGCAGCTCTACGAGTACAGATATGAGGTGTTCGTCTTGAGTGGTGTTAGAGTTGCTGGGATCGTTCAGGTTTCGGTACAGCATGGTCTGAATGGCGGTGCGTAGCTCCCAAAGCAGCTCCCACGTCTCAGATGACAGCTCGCAGCGCATCAGGGAGCATCCACGGAACGACACCTCCACTGAATCGCCGTTTACTGGGACACAAGATAGACTATTAGGGCAGCCATTCTGGTGTCTGCCAACCATCAGCTTTGTAATGAAGACACAGACTGGAGCACTGACRTTTGTTGTACTATAGCACAACATTTCTATCTACTATGCAAACATCCTGCACACCTCTACAAACACTTCAGTGTCTACCTGGACGGCTTCAGACACACTACCTTTCTCTTTGATGTCACGATCAGTGAGCAGCAGCAGGGCGAGTGGATGGACTACAGAGGAGTCTCTGATGAAAACATTTCCATCAGACTTGACAGCACTAAAAAAGGTCAGCCAACGGCTGGGGAGATTTTCTTCTCTGCAACACAAAAAGGGAAAAGAAAGTTGGCATGCATGTCGTGCAGGTCAGAAATGTTGCAGAAGAATGCCTGGACATTTTCAAACCTGTTAACTGAAGAGCGATGAAGCAACACCGGGCCACTGACTGTGCGGAAAACTATATTGTTGGCACGAAATTGCCCTTTTTTGGTCACAATACCCTTCTTCACCTAAAAACACAGAAACATTTTAAACATATGTCAAGAAATATAACTCGGTTCTCTCTATTTCACCTACTAAATTGACAAATTCAACATTTTTTGAACAAAAAGATAGACAAAAACTAGACACCGCAGAGCGGTAACATAATGACCCCCGCATGCACAAATGCACCAGAACTCAGAAGTCTTTATTCCCAATAAATG